TACTTTCTTGAAAATTACCCTAGCAGAAAAATTCTTGCACCAAGAAATGTGGAACATCTGGGGTTACAATTTTTATCTCTGTCACTTTTTCGATTATGTATGTGGCAAAAAACAAAAAGTACCTGAAACGGACCTTTTCCTTAGCCTCAAATGAAAAAGGGCAAAACCGGAACTCCACTTGGTTTAGGCAGTGATGTAGCTCATATCAAGAGCAACAATTTTCTTATTAACAATTCTCGTCTAGCATACCCGGCCAAGATATTTAAAAAATATATAGGGAAATGACCAAAGTTTGATATGAATTTTAAGTTAGCTTGACGTGCACGCCACGTAATCCATTCATTTTGAGAAAGTAACAGAGCACGATAGAATAAACCGGGAAACTGCTCCTTTGAAATAAAATACGAATCAAAGTGTTCTAATTTTGCAAAAATTGTCCAGATATCTGAATATTGACTTACTGTTTTTCACTTTGACTTGTTTCGTATTTTTTTAATAAAATCTGTTTGCAAATGAAAAAGTTTTCTTTCTGCCAGAAGCAGAAGTACATCCTATCGAAAAAGAACAATTTATGTGTGCTTTTTGGCGTATGTTCCTCATGCCTGAACGTTTATCATTTCTGGTTAGCCGATTATCATAACAAACACCACTGTTTATCCGGCAGTACCGAACGAAGTGTCAAGTGTCAACCCACATTATTGTGTTAATTCTCCCTTAAAGTACCATAAACAATCTTAAAATTACCACATTAAAATAAGATATGGATAGATAATCGAACCAAATGGGCGGGTATGGGTTATATCAAAAATGTGCGGACGAAGATAACGTCGAAAATTATAGTCATCCGAGTATGGCGAAGCTATACTTAATATACCCCACTTACAAGGAGATTTTTTTTATTAATTCGATAATATTGGTTATTAGCTTTTAATGGCGGGTTTGCTAGCTCCGTCGTATTAATTTAAGAAAGGTCGTGTACCGTGAACTCGATGTTATTGTCCAAAAGTAGTATGTTAAGGTCTTAAGAGAAAAGATTGCCTCTTTGTATAACAGTTAATTGGATGACACCGTAGCGGAGAAATTTTTAATTATGTTTTTAATTTATTTTTTCTGATATACGGGCTCTCGGTGTTTCGGATTCGAACATTTCGTTTACGGATAACGTGATTGCGTTTAATATCTTTGTGAAGCCATTTTAACGATTTTTTCGCGAGGAATTAATTTTAACGTTTTTAACCCACGAGTTTTTTTCTAAATAAATTTGAAGGCGGATAATTATGACCAAAACACTTAAACACTATTCGGTTTACAAATTTAAAACATTAAAAAATAATTTTTAATTTTTCTAATATTTTCCTTTTTATTTTATTCATGTTTTTACACGACACTTGATTAATTAATACGTTATTTCAATTAAAGGGTTTTCGTTACTAATTATATTGGAATGAAAAATTAATTTCCCGAAGTACCTCTTCGTGCGCCATTCGTAGACAACAAAACTAATCGGATCTACCACGAAACAAGCAATTGAATTTTTAACGCAACGAAGCCATTCAACATTGTCTGATATATTCTTACAAGTTGCATGTTGAACTCCGCGCCATAAAGTCTAGTAAACAAGAAAGACAACTCAAACAACAATAACTTTAAAATAAATTTATGAGAAAGTTGGGTTGTTATTTAAAGTCGAAAGTTATTCCGCAACGGCGAAATAAATCCCGGCTGAAAATTTCAGAATTTATTAAATCAATGGCGCGGGCAGCCATCGCGGGCCTTATTTATGTTCGGGATTTTATTATTTATACAATTTTTGTGTGAAGTCCGGGTAAAGTTTTCTCGGAACCCGAAAGCCTCAAACTCGAAACGTCCGGGAATGTGAGGAATTTCAAAGTAAAAGCCACAGGCCGGTAAATTATTCGAAAAAGGTCGTTACTAACGACAAGAAATTTTTAACATTAAATGTAAATTTAATTACCTAGTTTTGAAAAGTTTATAAGAGTATAAACGTTGGATATCGAAATCGTGCGGGCGTTTTGCCAACGATTCGCCAGAGGTGGAATTGTATAAGTGCAAAGTACCCTATTAATTCATATTTTCCGAGATAAAATTCTATATGTTTCATAAAATTTCCGGAGGTGTTACAGGATACCTCAAGGATCCAATCTTAATTAGTTGCTTTTCTTATTTGATGATGTTCCCTGATTGTGTTGTTAACAGATATATAAATAATTTTATTTTCTCCAAAAACTGTGACGTCTTTCAGAATTTGTGTTCCAAATATATACTTATAGTTTACATAATCTCAAATATACAAAGTGTTGACCTTCACCTTGTACTCTTCTAAATAAAAAGTTGCACAATTCTTGGATTTAGTTCTGTCCATGATATTGGTGTTGTTTGATAACGAGTCCTATATTTCTAAACACAATTTCAACGCAATTAATTATTTCCCAAAAATAATATTTGATGACAGACGTTGCACTCTAAACATAAACTTAGTTTAAATGTCACCAAATTTGCAAATTGTTGAACTGAATCAGTAACTTTCAGGCAAAATTGGATGTTTACTAAATAACGGGTGCAACAATTCCAAAATATAGTTCTTTGCTATTGTTTGATAACAAGTTCTCCTTCTCTGGATACATTTTCATCAGAGTAATTATGCCGTTCAAGTGAAACTACGAAACTCGTATGCTATCTATATTATATATCGAAAAACAGCATAATGTCTCTCAGAGTTAGCGTTCGGAAAATAAACTTAGTTTAAATGCTCTCAAAACAATATCAGTATTCTTGTAATTAATGTAGTTCTGATGATCCTGGTGGAGTTCCCTCTCTCATTTTGAACCCAGGTAATTCCAGATTAATTTTTTTATTATCAAAAATTTATCGTCTTCTTTTCAAACTGGAAAACTCTTTTGCTATTTATAATATGGATCCAAATGGATCCAAACTTGATATTGAAAAGATAAAAAAAGTACAGCGCAAGTTTTTTTCCCAACAGAACATTTTGTAAAGAAATTTACATTTAAAACTTCTCCTATTTGCTAAATACTAATTGTATATAATAAAATTAATAATATCTATGATACACTGAACGTTTTTTTTTTCTGTTGGGTAGAACTGGCAATAAATATATTATTTAATTCAATTATCGACTTTAACTGTACGATGATTTTCGTAGCTACGGAATTAGCAAGAATTGTCGCTTTAATAATTAATCGATACTAATTGCTCCGGCTTTGCGCTTTTAATTGACGTCTAAATCTTTCTCTATCTCTATAAAAGCGAGTTTTGCATTTATAACAAAAGAAGCGCTAAAGTTTAATATACCGAGTGTATATTATTTGTGATATTTTTTATTTTAGTTTCTTTTTTTTTCTTTCTCCTTGAATATGCCCCTCTGAAAGTAGTATTCGATCGCAATTTTGATATTTACGTTCTCATTTGGCACTAATTTACAGAATTTGCCATGAAATTTGTAAAATATATTGAAGTTTTTGGTTTGAAACGCCGTAAACTGATAGCATTTCGTTCACAATAATTTTTTGTGTTGTTGATTGAACACACTGCCAATTAAAGTGATAACATTCAATTAGGTGTGGTTTCATGATTTAATAACAGAAAAAAAGTGTACAAAAGATATAATAAAAAATATTTAAAAAACAATAAACCAAAAAATGACAAACTAGTCTTTAATTTGGTACAAAAATTTCAAGAAACGTTTTAGGCGGTGTGGTGAGTTAATAAAAAAAAATAAATTTTGTCATTCAAAACGTACGGAATGTAACGATCCAGATAAAATCTAACTAATGACGTTTGTACACTGTGATTTATAGCAGGAACATTAAACTAAACAACATTGTATTGCAACAAGCGTTTATATCCTCCGTATTTTTGATTGAAGGCAAACCCGTACCACTCAACTATATCTTTCGCGGGATCAAATCTTTTTAGTATAATATGTTCTTAAATAAATTACAAACACCGCACTCTCAAACCCGAATTTCAAATTAAACCAGCTACGAAAGACTATAATTGACAAACGCATATGCTTAAAAAGAATTTGAGTTATCGCATTTAGCATACGAAATGTGATAATATTTTATTATGTCTACTACAGGTCAAAAACAGTTTTAGTAAACCATTTCTTAAGTAATATTAATTGTCACCTTAACAAAATTAGAAGCGCTAATGACGATACTACGTAAACATGTCGGTCAAAAGAGAAGGGAGAAAGGAGAGAGGTCCTAATCCAACAACGGACCCAATTATGTATGCATTTCATTATAAAAATTTATTTGAACTTGAAAACGAAATTCTTTTAATTTGCTTTAACTATACTATGAAACATTAGTTGTTTAAATTTAGGCGAACTTTACGGTTTACAGCGAAACAATAAGCAAGGCAATCTCATTGTGCTACAGTTTTGGGAAAGAAAATCAACTCGTGAAGCTAAGAAAACGGTTAATTAATGTCAGCCCCGCTTATGTAATAAGTAATTCATAATAATTATTTCCATATTTAATAATTTAATTTAAGAAAAACTAACGCAAAAAAGCGTTGGTGCACAAGTTGAATATTTATCAATTTAAATGTCAATATTAATAATAAAAATAACTTTTCATATTCTCGCAAGGGTATTATAAAATGATATGTGTTTGTGTTAATTCCTTACTATAAAGGCGAATGTGTGTTTCTTGACGCGCTATTGTTTTTTTTTAACATATCATAAAAGTTATTTAATTTGGAGAAATTCATTTGCACTCGTTTAGAATATTAACAGAAACAACCAATTGTGAAAAAGGGTTATAAGCTGCAGACACAGATCAAAGGAAGCACGAAAAATATGGGGAACATTTGCCACTTCAAAAAAACGAGGTGGTGATCAAAATAAAGAAATCTCCTATATATGACTGGGATGTTGCTTTTGATTTGGGGTTCAAACCACATGGTCTGGTTTCGAAAATCGTGAATTTAAAATAAAAAAATCGACTCACCATGACTAGCGACGCTGCCATATGGAGCGTGCATACTCTGGTGATAATACCTATGCCGTTGACTACCCGACGGATCGAGAAAAAAAGCACCCATGTGCTCGGCAACACTGCTCGAATTAATGTCAGAGGATGCCCCCGCATTACCACTATCGATACCACCCTGTGCGGGGCTTGCCGAAGTACCAGTCCTAGGATTCTCATACCAACGCCCGACAGACTCGTTCATCATCTCCATAATCATGGGTTACTAGTTAATTATCACTAACACACACGCGACACTAAAAAAAATGTTTCTCTTTTCGATACGGAGGAAGAAGGTGAGGATCACGACTCCTAGTGAGCTTCGGTCATGGCGGTGAGTGGCGGACGCGCGATGCGATGCGACGGCGAACGATATGCGAAATAAATCTGAGCTTGCGGAATACGAATCTGAAACAAAATTGAAAATGTTCAATGACTAGCTGGTTATTAAAAATCTTGTCGAGATTACCAGAGTGTAAAGTATCGATTTTATCGAAAAATTTGATTTGTTTTGCGGGTTATCTTCGCGATAAGGCCGAGATTCTGTCGCAAGGTTTAGCCGCGTCGTTTCGAAATCGATTTGGCTCCTTTTTTATCTCCAAGTGATAAGACTTGATTTTTAAATACCAAAGTTTACTTTGCGGTAGCGATATGTAAATAAAAATTAAATCTTTTTATATATTTGTTCAGTTTGTATATAGTCAGAGCTTTTATCCGAAGCAATGGATAATATAGTTCCTTTAGTATTAAAAAAGAATTAACAAAAATGAATTAAGATACTCGTTTAATAACAATTGTGCCTAAACCTTTAAAATTAATTTTAATTACGTTAGAATTCAAATAAATATTTGTTCTAAATGAAACCTACAGAAATTGTGTTGTATTTTTCTGGATTCTGGAAGTTCGCCTTACTCTCCTCACCTCTGCTTTCGGAAGTTCTAGACCGCACTGCAATCCTAAATTGGCCTGATTTATATTTCAAAGTGAATATATATCATTTTATAATTCTGAAATGTCATTTACAGGATTTCTAGATTACCCTTCTAATAAAATGGGCAAAATTATACCCCTAAAAGGATATCTTATCAATACAATACAATAGCCGTACATTTTAAGATATTTTTAGATAGTTATATTTAATGAAAAATTTGAGGATAGTACCTAGAATATTCCTCTAGCAAAAAATATCCTGTTAAATTTGCATACGCTTTAAAAATCATGTATAGATAGCAGGATAGACATCTCCTATACTGCTAAAAAATAAGAAATCTGATTTTTTGCCTTTGTTTTTTGTTTACTACACCGAGCATAATACTAGAATACTTATCTAACATGCACTGGAAACAAACAAATTAAAGACATTTGGATTTGTTTTATATGGAAATTTGTTTACTCTCCGTTATTATTTTAGTAAAAAATTGCCAGGATAACCTATAAAAATATACATTTTTTTTATAATATGGACAGTTATTTTATATTTGACTACATTCTGCAAAATAAAATTTTCAAAACGAGACAATATATTCAAGCGTGGAGAAGATTGAAAAAATTAACGGTTAAGAAAACACATTTTCTTTTTATTATTTCTATACTAAATCTAACTAACATTGCGTAAGTCTGTGGGAAAACACTGCAGTTTTACAATATAAAAGATAGAATATTTACCACCTTGCTAGCCAATCTGGAAGATTTATAATATATTACCTAAAGGACTTTCAATTTAGAACTTTAAAAAACGAATCAATGAATAGTTTTTCCAGTGATTCTCTGAAAACGCAAAAAAAATGCGATGAGCGATTAGGCGACGAACCTTAAAAATATACCATACCAATAATGTGAATAGTTTCTTATATGGCATTATATTGTATACTCGAGTTGGTACCTACCACTTGGGCGGATATTTTTTCAATTATTTTATTGAGGGCATTACACACTTAGAATTATCCGTCATAGTTGTTGTTATTACTACTTATTTGAACTAATTTAATATATAGACATCCAAGCGTCCGTAAAAAAAATGGAACAGTATTATTACGGGCGACAAGCCCATTTGTAAGTAAAATCAATGATTCAAGAAATGCAGGAACATTACATTCGCCCAGATATTAACAACGAATATTACCTTGTAGTGCGTCTTCGCCAGAATAAATTAAGTAACAAATCGTCGTTTTACAGCGGTCTAATTTAATATTTATTTTAAACCTAAATAGTTTTTAAAATAGAGAATCGCCAGAAGATGTATATCTATAATAAAGCGGTACTCACAATTATCTAAAACAACATCCACATAGCGATAGCCATGTATCCATTGCGCACTGTCACAAAATCACAGTTAATCAAAATCGTGATTACGATAGATCACAACACATTTTTCTTATCAAACTAACGCTGTCATTGTTAAAGAAAACATACAGAAACCTCTCCTCGACATTAGCTCGGCAACCAACACGATACCACTAAGTGTTAGTGTAGCAGCTTTCGGCCGTTTCCCCTGGCAACCGAACGTCGACAAAGCTCGAGTACTTCCGGACGGGATCGGGGTCCCATTGGCGAGCTTTCGGCACCTGGGCGGTGCATGTGGCGCTAGGCGTGTTCGCCGAAGTGAAAGACATTTCAATTTTATAGTGTTTAATTTATATTAAAATTTAGTCATCTGCTTGTTTCACGGGTATTCCAGCAAAAGGCAAATATTTCCTGTCGCTGGTGCGAATCTTCAAGCCCCGCAGAACGTCTCCATTCGAAAAGAAACGTTACGCATTTCGTGAAAATCTCGTTGGTTAAGAGTTCGCGTTTGGTGTACGCCTCCAGGGAATCGCACAAACCCGTCGTAGTTCATTAATTAAATGCAATTATGAAATAAAGTAAAAGCGATTTTTAAATTGAAGCTCGGCGTGTCTTCCGATTGAAAATAGGAGGGAGATCGTCCAATGAGATAAAGCTTCTAACAAAACACTACTATTTGACAAAATGGCGACCACAAATCACGAAGCTCCGCCCAGCTAACGATTGTCTGCCCCTTTTTCATGTAGATGTCTGGTATTGGTTCTCTTTACAATTCTTTCTCCTTTTTAACTCTGGGAGTTAAGCTGATCTGTCTTGTAATTCTTTTGTTTCATATCACTTGTCTGTAAAATATTGAGCGCTTGCAAGTAATTCCAGGGATTCGCCGAATACATTATGCATTGTCCTCTACGCTTTGGATCGTAGTTTGCATATGCACACGGTGGGCCTTTCCAAAGGTGATCTTTAGATTTATTGTTATAATTTCCTTATACGGAATAGTTTCGAGGATTCTTTCGCGCCGATATTTGTTTCATAGGCTTGCGAGGGTTGACTAGTGACTATGTACTTATTAGTACGCTATACCTATACCACATCTTCGACTTAGAGGTCCTTGCACAAAAAATGTATGGCTATAACAATTTCTAGTTGTAAATGCTCGGATTGCAAGTTAAGTTTTTACCGATTCAAAATTAACAGTTTACTGTGATAAAATAATTGTTTTAAACAATAGGTGAAATTGAAAGTTGGCGAAAGATATACAGCAAACAGTTTTCGCAAGTAGATGCTCAAATATTTGCACACCTATATTTTAGAAATAACTTTTTCTATATTGAAGGTTATGAATTCACAAGAAGGCCATAACGAAAACTTATAAACACGTGGCAAAAGTAATTATTAAAATTGCTTTGACTTTTGTGAATATTTAAGGAAAATTGGAATTATTAAATGCTGGAATTTCTAATAGCGCTATCAGACAGCAAAGGTAAAATGTAAAATTAATTGCAGACTACTTTTGTACAAGTAAGAGGCCGATGAGGTGCTCATCAGCAGAGACTATAGATCCGTTTCAAAATCTTTACCTGTTTACCTAAGTAACTCCGTTCCCCTACATAAAAAAGCCGTCTTAGTATATTTTAGCCTAGAGTTTGATTTGATACTACATTGGCATTCAAGTGATGTTAGCAGCAGAATTGACAGATCTCAACCTACTATGTCTAAAATTTACCGAAACCACCCGATCGCTCCCAACTCTGTGACTAAAATCCCGGTAGCTGATATATCAAAGTAACAATTTTTGTACGCTAGATCCTTGTATAATGAGGTATTTTTGACTAGGGAGTAAAAAAATAGCTTTAGTTATGAATAACATCGCCAACATGTTATTCTGTTAGTCTTTAAGTCGGTGTAATATAATTAGAAAAGAAGAAACAGGTTTTAGCCAATCGTCAAGCATTATAAATTCTGTCGAGATAGCAAGGTGATGGTGTTAAAGAATGTTGTCAGATTAAAAATATACGTAGGCTTCTGTATTTAATAATATCAGCATTAACATCTTGCTATGGATAGGAATCCTTATACCCTAAAGGTTTACAAACCTTTATTTAATAATATTTGAGTATTTTTCATTTATCATATCCTCTCATGAGAGAAGATTAAATATATATTTGGATTGTCCATTCCATTGACGGATTTTGGCAAGTTGCAATTCGATCAATGGCAATTCGTAGAGCGTTTTGGCAGCTGTTTTAAGTTGGATTGCTTTTATTTAGCTTAGGTTTTTTTATGGGCACGCTTTCTTTTTCATCTCAGAAATAACCCAAATATATTAGATATGAGAATTTCTCTAGCATTTAAAATGCAAAGAGGGACCTGAATTACATGTACGCTACAATAATAAAACTAAAAGTATGTTAATAAATTTCTTTTGCTTTTTACAGGTGACTTTTTTTTTAAATACCTGATAGAATTGTCAAAAAAAACTATTATTAAGAAAATCCTGGATGGAATCTGAAGAAGCTATAAATTCCCTTCTTTAAAATACCTAAATATACACCGATCTAGCCTATAGAAAGTGTTATTTCAAGACGTAAGTTTCGTTTCCTACTGCTGCCAGCCACTTCGGATAATTCCGTTAATTACCACATGGGTTTGGGAGCAATCGGGTGTTTTCGGAGATATTACCGTACGGCTTGAATTTTGATATTTGTCAATTCTTATGATCGTGTCAGTGAATTTTATGGTGTTGTTTTCCATAAACATATCCAAAAGCTAATGGACGTAGAAAAAGTACAGTATGTGGAACACGTTTGGTAAACTTTTAAAAACACGAGTTTGTTTGGCAGGAGCGGAGCGAGTGCTTAATAAACTCCGGTTACCACACTTGTTGCATAATATACTATTTATTAGGTATGCAAACAATAACCGCTTTTGCTCAGCTAAATTCATCCTATTTTTATGTTAATGAACAATTGCTGCATTTCCAAAAGTAGGTAGGTATATTATGTGATACATGTGATATAAAACTCATTTGACGTGTTGGAAAGAAATTCGCTAATTTGAAACATATTTCAAATGTCCAAGCAAAATTTAAGAGTTTCGATGTAAAATTATTAGATTGATGACATTTTCGGTTATACTGGGAAGTGGTTTCAACAAGTCAAATATCTAAAAACATTGGGTTTCATACACTCCTCATATTTTTAAAACTATGTAATAATTTAAATACTATTAGAATAATTAAAAAAAATTAACAATACAATTAATAGTATTTATGAACAAAAAAATTAAATTCAGATGCTCATAAAGTTCGCATTTTTCATTTAGGTGGATTATGCATGAATGAACTAATACAAAGTGTTTAAATTTGAATACGATATTAATATGGTTTTCCAAAAATAAGTTATATTATTTCAAAATGTGATTGACACAAATAGTAAGGTACCGCTGTCATCAAAGTATGTGAGGTAGATAGACATTGTGGACATTTTGCTGATTTATATGTTATGCACCTTTCTGAGAATTGGTAATCCAATCATGGCAGTTAGTTAGATTTGGCTGGGCACGTTGCCTTAATTTTTCCACGACCGTATATGCCGTCATTCAATTAGCTCTAAGCAACCGGTCTATTAATTAAACTAAATTCTCTCTTCGAAAGCGTCCGTTAAAAAAGTAAAAAAAAATGGTGCATACGGAAAATACACGAAACAAAGAGGAACGCCCTGTAGAGACAGATACATATTGCTTTTACGTGGGTTATAATTATCCAACAATGGAAGGATCCATTTTAAAAATATGGAGCAGAAGCCACAGGCCATCTTCTTCTTAAGAGTCAAATTATACGTTATTAAGAATTAAAAACCTTAACGTTACATTTTTTACGGCTATTTTATACATGGTCCATTGCCGTCAGACTTGTAGGATAGTGGGAGTGTAAAACGATTAGTTGCGATTCTGACTTTTGATTTTGTGAGCGCAATATTACTAAACCTGAATATCTGCAGCTATTTACTATCCATGCAATATTTTTGGCAATTTTTTATACAACAATAAACACTCGGTCGAACGCTTTTCATTGTATTCAAACGCAGCAGGTACTTGACTGACATTGTCACATGCGTCAACTTAGACACTATTATTTTGGTTTTGTATTTATGTGTTACTATATTCTGCCATTTGTCACAGATTTAAGGCTTATTTAAGGTTATTTTTAACAAATCGGTTTCCTACAGGGGCTCACAATCACGTTTGAGTGTTCCTGGGGCAAGTTGTGTTATACTTAGGTGCTTTCTTTGTAAACCTACAATAGGTACGTATTGTACTCATCGCAAGCAAACAAACTAAGGTCTTTGAAAACGGCACAATAAAAGCGGAGATTGTTTCAGAGAGCGTAACAACTCTGAAATGTTTTATTTTTAAATTTAGAATTTTGTTTAGTATTATTAAAATTTTCCCCTTTCGTTTAAAAGTTAAATTTTTATTGCCCAAGGCCGTTTTTTCCGTCGTTTTTTATTTTATAAATATTTAGTAACAGACAGGGTGTCTCGAACTCGAAGGCTCCAACTTTTTTTACTAACAAAATCACTCTTAAACACAGCCTTTATTTTAATACCTAAAATGGTTGCATTGTACCATTTGATATCAGTTAATTGAATATGAATGAAAAAAAGAGTTCAGAAAATATATGGCTGGAAACAGATATGTTTGAGGGAAAAAGAAATCTATTTGTTAAATTCAATCCATGTAAAATAGGTCTGTCTCGTTCTCATATAATAATCCCACATGCCGTAACAAATATATATTTTGGTTTTTAGTACTTACTTCCTTACAGTGTTATTGCCTCCATCCATAGAGAAATCTATTTGACGTTAACGTAATGCAGTTGACACAAATATTAAACATACTGAGTAAACATTGTTCGTTGAATAGATTATGTAGCAACAAGTAAATGGTGATTGTTGAAACAAAATTATAATGGGTGATGGAGCTCATTTTCGTCATAATGGGCGAAAGAATTGTAGTAAAATCCACGATTAATTGTTGATTAGTAAATCCATAAAAAATCAGTTACTTTTACTTTATTATAGGTTTTGCACTAGAGGCAACATTAACAGGCATCGTTTTCTAAAATGGCGCTGTTCATCACAATTGCAACAAAA